TCGATCTACATCGTTCGATACATGAAGCACAGTTATGAATACAAAAGTCAACACAAGAATCTTCAAATGATAGGTGGAGTTTCAGTTTTTGTTTTTGGCGCAATTGGCATGTCCGTAGCCGACCCGACTAATCCAACACCACATCACACGTGAGTAACTAAATAAGACGCTGGAATCCTCAAATTCGCAATAACCGATTGCACATTACTGTAAAACATTAAACAGATACGGAATAGTGATATACTCCTTGGTTTTTGTTCAACTCGGTTTGGGACTATTGACCGCGTGGTGCTTAGCCTCGGTGGAATCCGTGAACCGTGGTTTATTTAGTTTTATCAAGAAAGTTCACCTCCTTTTTGGGATTGTCCTGATGAGTGTTTCCGGGTAAGAAATAAAATACCCTCAAGAATTTTAAGAAATATGTTAACATTGTGACATAAATGCAATTCAAACAGCTATAACATCTACCTGGGAATCGAGTTATATGGTGAGGATCCAAATTATACATGGCGACATATTTATTTGGGATGGTTAGGTAAATATTGATTCTTCTGATGTGAAATTTTCAATATTATTGCTACAATATGACGTTTGACTCCAAAAAAATAGGGCTTATCCTGATAATATTCTTAATTTCTGAGATACGACACAACATTTCTGGTTATAAATTCATTCAACCCTCAAGCGAGTCCGGAAACCCAAATCAATGTATACGCTCTTATATTCATGATGTCGTGTTTGAAAAACTTTTGATCCTTGATTGGGATGTAAGTTGATCAGTGACGCGTTTTCCGTTTCAAATGGTCACATGATTAACAGAAAAATAATTTTCGTGTAGGAAATTAACAAAAGAGTCGCGGGTGGTGCCTCTCTTGTTGTTGCGGAGGGGTTGGTATTTGACATTCGAAAATGGATTGACGTTCATCCCGGTGGTGCCAAAATTCTCCAGAGGGTCATTGGTACAGGTAAGTGTTTTAAAAATTGGGTTTATTATTATTGAGGACATTAAAAGTTTCTAACTTTTCTTCTTTATAGACATTACAAATGACTTTTATTTCAAAGAGGATAAGGCTAGTAGTAGTAGATTGGCAATCGATGATTTCCAACAAAAGACCATTCTAGGATTTGACGATGAGGTAGCTTTGACACAAGTCAATAAACAATCTGAAAAGATTCCCAAACAAGAAAAAGAAAAATCACTCCTCTCGACCACCTCGATTTCAATGGCTAATGTAGCTGACAGACTTAACGCTAATACGTTTAAGGCATCGCGACTCGCTATGCACAGTCATTCCAAATTTGCTACTGAAAAACTTGCGAGCATGGTCATAGGCAGAATTTCACGTTA